AAGAGTTGCCTCTCATTGTGAAGTCAGCCTTACTGAATCGATATGACGCCACTAACTACGGTAGCTGACGCTAGCTGGCGGCCATTGATTCGCTCCCTCCAGAATGCCATCGTCGTCGTAAATTCGCTATTGATCCACCGTAGTACTAGTTTCGTGACGGCCAAACATTACCATTTCATCGAGAGCGGAGGGTCTTGGTGCATTTGCAAGTGAACTTTCGGGAAAGCCGGGTTCGGAGGCTTCATGTTTGCGTAGGGGATTTTCCTCAGCACTGTTGCATTTTCTGAAGGGAGAAACTGGAACATGAGAAAGTTTTGGGAAAAGCTTTTTTGCTCTTGCCGTATCTTTTTATCTTGATAGTTTGAGTTCATTGATGAGACTAAGTTGAAAATTTTTCCTGTATACAATTATATTTCTTTACTGCCAGTTTTGAGCTTATACGCGAAATTTTGAATTTTTCACTCTTTAATTCAACATTTTGAAAGCTGTCTAAACCTCTACCGGAATAAAAATTGCTTAAAAAATATTATTACGGCTTCAACGCTCTTCCTCTTCATGTAAATAATTTGAAGGATAGTCAGGCTTAATGGGTTTTGCCCAAGGATGATTATTTGAAGAGTTTCGAGGACATTTAGAACTTTCTGGAACTTTTGAGTTTACTCCGTTCTTCGTTCGTTTGCAAAAGTTGCTTCCAAAGAAGTTTACATCTTGCTTCTTTCATAGATCTATGCTCTAATTGTTAACCATATTCAAAGAAAATATCTGCTTCTAGAAGAATAGGAGCTTCTACAATTTCAAAGTCATTCTTAAGTTCCATTTCAGGCTGCCTTAATCCCCAAATACAGTCAGCCCCTTACGAGGCCGAAAGAATGCTGAATTCAAAACAACGACACAATGAGCCGCAAACGTTTGTCAATACTTCGAACAGGGTACGAACTTGAAAGTTCCTCTTTTTTGTTCGTCATAAAATTTCCATTTCAATCCCATCCTTTTATATGACTATTTCTCTTTAGTGATATTTTTCTCATGTTTTTTATGTTTGTGTGATTCTTGAACTCTTTAAATTCAGGATGCTATGGCTAATCTTGTCGATCTCGAAGAGATTGTACTTAATTGGGCCAAGTTAATATTCGATACGACAAAAACGAAAGCTGAAGCAAAAATCAAGAAGAAGTATTTATCGGTTAGTCAGCAAATAATATTTAAATTATGCTTCTACTTATGATCTCGACACATCAGTAACTCTTTATCTTTCTAGACCTTAAATCTTTCATAAAGTTTGTCTCTTACTAGCGAAAATCCTCTTATTGCGAAATTGACTGTTATAAACTTTTAAAGACTCTCAGAATTTAGAAATAATGAAAAACTCAAAAAACCTGTGCTTACTGCATTATACCATATATTCCGGAAAAAGCAAAATCT